ATGGTCGGCGACTTGGTGTTGAGAAGCTTGTGGAACCACCGTGCCCACCGTCGGCGAATAAGCGTGGGGTCCCGAAGGACCTTGCCGTCCCCGTCCTTAATGTTCCGAGAGGTGAACGACCTCTTACCTTCGACGTCGATCATCTTCAGGTGCCTATAGAAGCCCGCCTGATCCCCCTCGCGGCTCTTCTTCTCGAGCTGCAGTACATAGCCCTCGATGAACGTTTCCAGTGCTCTCCACCTCGAGATACTGCGCTTCTTCCGCCCCGCCTTGAGCATCGCCTTCAGGGTCGCCTCGAATGCGCTGTTCTTTGAGGCCCCACGCAGTTGCTGCTGGGCCGCCTTAATCTCTTTAGAGGCTTCGAAGATCTCATGCTGCGCTTCGCTCGTGTACCAGCCTCTCTGCCCTCGTGCGCACCTCGCCAGCGGCGCGGTCTCAGCAGCGGCCGACATCACCGTAGCCGTCAGCTCGGCGGCGGTCTCTCCCGTTGGCCGCCTGAGCGCCGTGGGCGGAGGGCGGCTAGAGGCCCTGTTTTGGAAGGCGTCCCGTAGGTGTTTGTCCTTCCTCAACCGCTCGAGGTCGATACGGATCCGGCTGCTTCCGCTGTTCCCCCGCACTCGTCGGTTGGGTGCGACACGGGGGGGGAGGCGGACAGTCGTAAGCACGAGGTTGTGGTCAGAGTCTTTGAAGTCGACACGTTTGACGGAGACATTGCGCACGAAACGCCGGTCCGCCTGACGCATGAGGATGAAGTCGAGGCGGTACTTCTCCTTTCCCTTGTTGGAGCTCTGGAATGTGTGCTGCACTCCACCTTTCGGTGTCCGGAAGTAGGTGTTGGCCAGGGAGAATTGGTTGTCTGATGCCAGTCCAAAGAGTCGTTCCCCGTTGTTGTTCATAATGTCGCGTCCGTACGCGCCCAATACCTTGGCATCGCAGCACCCGCCTCGCCTCCTACCAGTGCGTGCGTTGGCGTCCATTAGCACCACGAGATGGTCACGGCTGTGAACCTCCCGGATGGCTGCGTCGAGAGCAGTCCAGAAGGAGTCCTTGGCGTTAACATCACCGCCCGCGGTGGTGCGGACAGTTTCCGTGGGGGCGTACCCCACCACGAAAGTTACTCCGCAGGTGCGGCCAATTTGTAGACGCACCTTCATCAGCCTCGGGCTAATGCACTCCACCGTCCTACCTTCCTCGCCCACACTCTCCCACATGGCCTCCTTGATCGCTATGCCCACACCGTGTACGCCCCTCTTGTCCTTGGTGCCAGCACGGGCGCCACTCCAAATGATCACGTACCCGTCGTGTGCAATTGAACCTTGCCCCTCTCGTCGGGTCTCCTGAAGTCCTATCACATCACAGCCGGTCGCGGAACAAATCTGCATGACCGTCATCACGTTGTGACCGATGGGGTTCCTACCGCTGTAGGCGAGCGTGCGTACGTTGAACGCACCGAACGATAGGTCGCCCTCTCGCGCGCCTTCTTCCTCGCAGCCGCCTTGACGGCCGCTGCAGTCTCGTGTCTCTCTCGGTCCGCCTCGCGTTGCGGGTGTGCTTTCTTCTGTCTTTTCCGAGCGGCGAGTTTCCTCGCATCAATCCATCTCTGCAGAGCTCGGTTCTTGCCTGTGGTGTTTTGACGAGGAGGGTGCAGCACTCCCTCCCCGCGGTGCCCGCGGTCGTCTCCCTTCTCCCGCGAGCGGTGCTTACTGACGTGGTGTTTACGAATCTCTCTACTCCTCCAGCTTCGTGGGCCACGCTTTCCGCGACGGTGGTTGCCAGGTGCAGTTTGCCGCTTTGCATTACTGCNGTGCATTACTGCCGCGGGAACAATATCCATACACACCTCCCGCCACTACCACCGTCTGTGCATCCTCACCGCCACGCTGAGCCAGCGCGGCGGTATGTAGCACCTTGAGGCACCACCCGCCTTCTATCTGTTGTGGCCTGGTTCGCCCGCGAGGGACTCACTAGGTCGATTTCGGCCCCGGCCGGGGAGCAGGCCGAGGAGGAGGAGGTNAGCCAGCGCGGCGGTATGTAGCACCTTGAGGCACCACCCACCTACTATCTGTTGTGGCCTGGTTCGCCCGCGAGGGACTCACTAGGTCGATTTCGGCCCCGGCCGGTGAGCAGGCCAAGGGGGAAGGATATGAATGCTTCGGAGAATATGTTGTATGCATGGATATCTGAGTCAGGGGGGGCAGGCATGACTTTGAGAGGATGCCTGATGGTGCGGTGACTGGCTTATGCTGACTGTGTTGTGGACAGAGATAGGTTGAGATCCCCGAGTTCCACTCTTGTCTCCCCTCCCTGTCCAAGCGTGGGGGGATACGACCAATTAATGCAATTTCGAGACCAACGAACAAACCGTTGTTTGTGTCGCGGATCGGAATTCGAAAAACACAGACCGGAGTGGGGTGTAGTGAGTTCTGCTCCGTAGTCCCCCCCCGAGGACCCATGGATCAGGCCCGCCTGCAGTTAATCTTCGGCACACACCGCTCGACAGCGGGGAGCCTGTGGTACAAAGAGAGGGACAAGAGAGCAGAAGAGAGTGAAGGAGTGGATATAGGATTGATCGACTTCAGTTTCGCCGGCCCTGCTCCACGCCCCCCCCCGGTGTTTACCATCGGGGTTGGGCTTTCGTCACTCGGCAACAACGTTGTAAAACAAGCCGCCCCCGCCCCCCCCTGGTGTTTGCCATCAGGGTTGGGTTTTCGTCGCTTGGCAACAACGTTGTAAAACAAGCCGCCCCCCCCGGTGTTTGCCATTGGGATTGGGTTTTCGTCGCTTGGCAACGACGTTGTAAAACAAGCCAAGTCACTTCGTGAGTTCGGCAACCAGGTTAAGGTTTTCTTTTTTAACCTCTATTATATTTTGGCGGTAACCATAACGATGGTCGAGTAGATCATGTTGTGCGGCGTCGAGAACCCTCACTCCGCGCAAGGGGGATGATCGCACCACGTTGTGTTAAAATGGTCAAGCACCCTCGAGGCAGTTACACAGTGCTTACAACTGTCTCTGGAAGTGAAAGCACCAGAAAATAAATTAAGTCATACGCAGCTGTCATCCGTACGCAAGGAAGTAAGCACAAGATGCAAACACCCCATAGCAGGATGCAGCGCACCCTTCATGCGACTCGCCGAATATCTCACGGCGCTTCGCGCTTGGTGATGTGAGAGCCTGGTCCGGTGAGAACCCGGCGTGCTCCGTCCCGGCTTTGTAGGGATGCGAGGTCAATGGTCTAACGACTACGGCATGCACGACTACGAGTACACCCCCCCCTGCTTCACGGTGAGAAAAACCCATTGACCAATAACACTCGCTGTAGCCGCAGATGGCGTAACCGTACCCCGCATGACAGGTTGCCGCAAAACGCTATCACTCACGAATCGCGAAAGGTCACAGTGCCAGACGCGTTTCGACAGCAGTCACATCTGGCATGGCCCGACCAGATTCTCGACCGCCCTGCGTTAGCAACCATAGCAGCAGAGCCCGCTTCGTCATGGAGTGTAAAGCAAAGATCGCTACTGCCGAACAGCCGTATGGTTTTTTCAAACATGGAGGCGCCTGATTGGTCGGGGGTTCAGGGATACACAGACGGTCAAGGCATGCAGGGTGAGCGATCGCCGCAGCCGAATGTCAGGAGGGCAGTTCCAACACAACTCACGCAGGCAGGTACCTCGTTGAAAACCCAGACAAAAACAGACGCTCAGTGCATGCAGGGCGAGCGATCGCCGCAGCAGAACGGCAGTAGGGTAGCCCCGACTTAACACATGCAGGAGGGGGTCCAACCCCCCCCTTCTATGTGACCCCGGTTGGGTCGTCTAGCTAGTAGAAGTGGAGGATAGGGGCCAGAGGGGCAGACGACAGAGTCCAAT